TCTCATCTGTGAAAAGCACAGGGAACCATTAGTGGACCTGCTAACTCTGGTATTCTATGGAAAATGTCAATTGTGCTCCACAGTGCTGGGAAGTGAGCACAGGGCCCACTAGAGGTCCTCAGGTCACCCTCATGATGTTGTGTTTCTGATTGTTTGGTCATGCACAGTCACACCAGTGTCCTGCTGGAGGTCATTTTGCAGCTCTGGCAGGTCTCATCCTGTTCCTTCTTGCACAAAGGAGCAGATACTGGTGCTGCTGAGGTTAAAGGCCTTCTACGGCCCTGTCCAGCTCTTATAGTGTTACTATCTCATGGAACCTCCCATATGCTCCAGAGACTGTGCCAGTAGACGCACCAAACCTTCTTGCGTTGACATGTTTTGATGTGCAATCCTAGAGGATCTAAACGAAACCGACCCTTGCCAAATGCAAAACTAGTGAAAACCATTAGAAAAGATGAGGAGGTAAAAAATGTCCATGGCGTGCAGGTGTAAAACCATTCCTGTTTTACGGGTTTGTCTCATTGTTGAGCCTCTAGTGCACATGTTGGTAATTTCATTAACACCAAAGCAGCTGAAACAGATTAACAACCTGCTAAACAACACAGCGAAACACCTGCAGCCATAATGAAGACAAAATCAATCATATCTATTTGACTGTTTCTTTCTTTTTTTTCTAGTCAGAAATTGTGAATATCTAATCTTACAATCCTAAACTCATCGCATAATTTTAATGTGTTATTATTTTTTTTCAGCGTTATCTGTTAATAAGGTACCATGCTGTCTGATAAACGTCTGCAAACACAAAGCCAACAGATTAAGTCCTACTTTATGGCTTTATAAGTGCAGTAATGTTAGAATAATATTTTACCAGGGTACAACTGGAGCTCCAAAGGGTGCCACGTTGTCACATCACAACATCATCAACAACGCCTACTTTATTGGAAGAAGAATGGGATACCACTGGAGAGTAAGTGAATTAATGAGGAATTCACACCATTAAGACCTTTTTAAATAATTTACTGATTTTTATTAATGTCTTTGTTAAAGTTTGGGCTTTATTTTATTTCAAAAATCCACGAAAGGATTCAAACTAACAAAGAACTGATCCTGTTATGTGTTTTTGCTTAAAGTCTTTTCATTGCAAAGGTTTTTTTTCCTAATTTTGACTCCTTTATTTCCTCGTTTTCCAGCCTCACACTCGAGTCTGTGTTCCAGTACCTCTGTACCACTGCTTCGGCTCTGTGGGTGCCGGGATCTGCATGGCCGTGCACGGCATCTCCACCGTCTATCCTTCCAGGGGATACGATGGAAAGGCAAACTTGGCAGCTATCGAGAGTGAAAGGTAATGTCAGAAGTTCAGGCTAGGATTTAAAAAATAGGAGACCTCTAAGCCTACAGGGCTGTGTTGTTGTGCGAGTTAACAGAAAGATATTTGATCTTTAATACGCTTGAACAAAAGGGCTGAGACTATAATCACCTTTAAATCTGGAGCAGTGTTGTACCTTTGGGCTCCAGGACACCATCAAATTAAAGCAACACAAACTGGTTTCCACAGGTCTCATGTTTCCCTGCTTAACAATGATTTTTTTTTTTAATTTATTTTTTTCGTAACTGTAATCTGAGTGCATCTCATTACTAACACAGAGGTCTGTGTCTGATCTTTTCTTACGGAATAATGGAGATTGTCTTGTGTATTTGTGGCATGTCTGCTGATTAAAGAAATGAGCTTTAGGCACCATTTAAAAACTTTGTGTTCATCTGAGTGTTGATCTCAGAAAGTCAAATATTGTTTTACTGCATGAGGCTGGTGAGCATTAGTCTCAGATCCTTCCTGAATGAGATCAGATATTTCCCAAAAGCACTTCCTGTGGCCTTGTAAACTGCCCCATTAGGATAACATAAACCGTGTGTGTGTGTGTGTGAATAAAATGTCTCCCACGCTTGCCAAAGCGCAATGGATCCATGTTTTCATGTTGTTTACAGCAAATTCTGAAAATTTAACAAATGTTGTCTCGTCTGACTCTCAATTTCTGCAGTGAGCGAATGTGAAGTGAAATTTAATTATATTTATAGAATACAAATTCAAAACAACAGTCACCTCAAGGTGCTTTATATTGTAAAGTGAAGACCCTACAATATTAGAAAGAACCACAACAATGAGATGACGTACACCGTACCTATGAGCAGCGCTTGGGGGTAGCAGGAAGAAACCTCCAGCAGAACCAAGCTCAGGGAGGGGCGGGGCCATCTGCTGTGACCAGTGTTGGGGAGTAACGGAATACATGTACCGCCGTTACGTATTTAAAATACAAAATATGAGTAACTGTATTCCGTTACAGTTACCGTTTAAAAAG